AGCATTTATCCTTTCACAAATGACTGGAAAAGCATACAACGAAAGCAAATCAAATGAAATAAACGCTCGAGAAATGGTACTGGTTAATATGTAATGATGATACTTTTTAGAAAAGTGGATGCAACAAGAGGGTGTTGTTCTATGCAGTGTTAAGAATACTTTTTTCGACGACAGTGCGTAGCGTGTTTTTTATTTGAAATAGAAGAATCAGTAGAAGAACTCCTGTTCTCTTCCATCGGAAACCTAAGTCACATTCAACTGAGAATTTAAGGGTGAATAGTGATAAACAAGATAATTTGGTAATCAGATTTTGAATAGAAAAGGACCCCGCGCGTTAAGGTGCCAAATCTGCCACCCGCCTAAGATGCCATTTTAATGTCATATTTTTGTAGATTGGATCCAATTACACATTTAGAAATATTGTTTTTTTCCCAGACTTTTAGTTACATAGATAAATAAATATATCTATGATCACATGGCAAGGGTCAATCGGGACCCCTGAACCTCACTTTCCTCTGCTATGGAAGAAAGTTTTGAAATTCTGATTTCATATTTAGAAGCAGTCTTATAGACATTCTAATTCCTTGTAATCATCATTTTTTAAAACTTTTTAGGGATCGAATAAAAACTGAAATACAGTCACTAAGAGCCTATAGTGTGTGTAGATATGAAAACTTGAGATCATATTATCTCAATAATAAAAAATTATATCTCGATGAAACTTTTACAAAAACTTGCTTATATATCCAGCTTTCTTTTGATACCATTGCGACTTAAAATATTTTTATCCAGAGTTCCATTCTACACTTGAACATTCTCAAATATCATCACACAGAATAGAAATTCTGCTTGTATTTGACGATTTTCATCATCAACAACCATTTTTCAAACACAATACATGCGATATTCGAAATCAGCATCAAAATCTGAGTCAAAATGACATGTGTTCTCTTAAAAAATATTTTTCGTCAAGGGTGGGTGGGGTGGGGGTTGGGTGTGTAGATGAGATAATATCAATCATGTAGCTAGCAAGACCGGTTTCGATAAGTGCTATAAACTTAAACTTATCAATTGCTTTATTGATTGAAAGATGTTATGATAAATATAACTTCTCCGAGCTGCCATGACCGGTTTCGTCCGGGCTAAGAGACTCAATCAGATGGCTTAATCTATTCTGAATTTTCAAGAAGAAAATCCAAAACAAGATCTATGTTCAGTGTTACAAGAAGTCGAAACTAACTTGTAATAGAAGGGTGTGGATGTGGGTGTGAATGATTTTAAATAAGTGAAATCAATCATCATAGCTAGTAAGACACGTGTTTCGATAAGTGCTAAAATTAATACTTATTAATTACTATGAATTGCGTATGATTGAGGATGGTATATAGAATACTTCTCCTACATGAATTAGGGTGTGGGTGTGGGTGTGGGTGTAGGTGTGGGTGTAGGTGTGCATTATAGAAGAAGAACTAACCCATACCCACATCTACACTTCACACCCACACCCCACCCCACACCCACACCCACGCCCCACACCCACCCACACCCACACCCACACCCCACACTCACACCCACACCCACACCCTCCGTTCAACATGTTGTGAAGCAACTCAACCACGATTCCGTTGCTGTGAGCTTTGTCGCAGCGGATGAAGGAACTCCCAGTATAAATCTAAATCAACTGGAGCCTTCTTTTATGTACACTCAGATATTCAAAGAAATACTTCTGCAAATGGATTACAACGAACAGTCAATTAGAAACTTGAGGGTGTGGGTATGAGTTATGAGACAGACATGCCCACCAGGGCTCCGGATGGGATGGGATGGGACGAAAAAATCGTCCCATGGTACGAGTTGATTCGTCCCATCCCATCCCGTGGGATATCTAAAATTTTTTTTCCATCCCATCCCATCCCATGGGATTTAGGGGTCGCCCCATCCCATCCCATGGGAACCCATGGGACAAACATCTACTGAAAAAATATTAAAATTTATTGAACCAATCACCATGGTAGTCATATTGAATCCTTTGATATTCTTCCTAACTATTTCCATATCGCTACTTTATTTCACATTCAATTTCTCTACTATTTATATTAATTCACATGGTTCTTTTCGAAAAAGATACTGCGCATCTTGATCAACGCTAATGAATAAGGTAATCAACTCATCGAAATTTGTTAAGATAGATTTCAATTCGTCAGGATCTGCTCGAGTCCAGAATTGACGTTTCTTTTTTGGAACATTGCAACACAATAGTTCGAATCACTAACCAGTACTAACGATGCTTCTCTCGGGCATCGGAAACTTGATGTCTCATATTCTGATGATTTTCCTTAGATTTCTCAGATTTTTTAAGGCGGTTAAAGATTATTACATATTGTTGCACTATTCAAGGGATTTCTTCAAATGTTCACGGATTTCAATAAAATATAAAATAGTTTTAATCCAACAGATTTGATTTAGATTTGCTATCCACTAATTAGTTTTCTCTTAACCATGAGCTTCCGAGAGTTGTATCGAAAATTGATTTGAAGTATAAGTTAATTAAAACATGTGCTCTTGTCGTTATGGCGTGATGAGTAGTGCTAGGAGTAGTATTAAAAAATAAAATAGTACAAAACACATGAAACTCAGAAATAAATTACTTTGTTTTTAATAGTTAGTACGGTTTGTTAAAATGTTATTTTTATGCACGAGAGAATTGGACTTTATTTGAAAAGAAAATGATAATAAATAGTCTTAGACTTCTTCAGCCTTTTTTAATAATAGTCTTCATCATAATAATACGTAGTAATACGAATCTAACACACTTATTTGTCATAAACTAAGTTTCTTATTCATGTGTTATGCTCATATCAACTACTTTAACGCAATCTTACAGGATTGAAAGTATAACTTATTAATATTTGTTTTAAAATAAAATGATATCCTCTATGGGTAAAAACGATCGTTTCGTTTCGATACTCTGAAAGCAACAACTAAGAAATACAAGATAATTCATTATTTAATTTTATATAAAATGATTTTTTTTTCTTAAAAATGGTACAAGAGAGTCAAATGTGAACTCATTTGTGTTAAAATAAAACAGATGTAATAAGGACATTATGAAGTCTATCTTTCTCCACTTTTATAAAGTAGCTCGAACTAATATTTCTACAGAAAATAATGTACAAATTTTACTCAAAAATAAAAAACACAAATCCCATGGGATCAAAGTTTTGTCCCATCCCATCCCATGGGATTAGCGATTTATCCCATCCCATCCCATGGGATATTTGAAGGAAAAAGTTGTCCCATGGGATGGGATTAGATGGGATGGGATGGGATTGTCCCATCCCATCCGGAGCCCTGATACCCACACCCCACTCACACCCACACTCACCCACAACCACACTCTACACCCCACACCCACACCCACCCACACCCCACACCCACACACGCCCCACCCACACTCACACCACACCCACCCACACCCACACTCGAAACATTAATCTTTAATGGTTGATTTTTCAGCAATATTTTTGATTCTTTAGTGGAAAATTCAAAAACTTTCCAACATAAATATTTGTTTGTTTTTTCACTTTCAATAACAGTGTATGTCAATGGGTACTGTTTTGTATGTAATGAGGAATCAGCACCGATAGTTAAAGAAAAAGTATTAACAAAAATTTATACTTGAGACGATTCACTAGGAATAGAATTAGAATTAGAAGCAGTAATTGTTGATGATGTTGAAGAATTCTAAAAAATTTAGTCGAAATCATCCACGGAGACTTCTGGACTATGACGCGGAGAGATAAGTATTGTTAACCCTTTACCCCCCAATGGGTCATATATGACCCATTTGTAGACATGATCACAGAAAATAAAGAAAGCATGAGACTGAAAAACTCCCAAGACATTATTTGTAGGAAATTTCACAAGCTACCAATTGGTAAAAAATATTTTGTTTCATTGCTCTGCCTTCGAGATATATGACTTACAAAATCGATAATTTTGAAAAAAATGCAAAAATCCGAAATTTTATAAACAAAATGTTCTCTACTTTCAATCGATAGAGGTCTTTTGGAATTTCTGTGCGATATTAATCGATGAAGAAGTCCACTGCTGAATTAGATGCGTTTCGAAAGCTTCATGATAACTCCGCGAATTATGCATACTAAGGGACACAATTGCCCATGTTGTCACTGTTGGACAGATGGAGGCTAATCAAGAACAAAGTTAATATATGCGTTATAGACCTCAACTCATGAGAAGTCGAAATAATATTTATGATGAATTAAATTCCTTCAGACGTTACAAAATGGCTCTGAGTAAAATAGGCTTAAATTTGACAATAGATGTAAAAAAAAAGCATGTATTCGTTGATGTTAATTTTTATCGGTTTACTCGTTGCGCTTTTCCTATCACTTCAACAGTATGAGATAGATGCTGCTTCTGTCCAGTCAATAATGTGGTCAAAGAAAAAAAAATGAAGTCTTATGATGTCGTTCAATTCCCATTTTCCACCACACGATTTTTACATCAATCAAATCACCCTACTCCAGGAACAGGACATTCAGTGGATTAGGCCACACCATTGGCATATTTGACAACCTAATACTCTATTCATAAAGTTATTTCATCAGTGGCTCTTCTGGAACCGCTATGGGGGGGGTAAAAGGTTAACCCTCCTTTAAAATCGTGTTTCACAAAACATGAGTTCATAACACAAAAAAAAGACAGTAATAAAACTAGTTCATATTAAATTGACGAGATTGAAGAATATCACAAAAAATGTAAATTCTATAGGATTTCAAAGTCTAAAAACTATTGATATGGTAGATTTATGACATTTGACTACATTCTTTATGTATTTAATTTAAATAGTTCAATAGATTCTAAACCACTAAAGCCTTGTAAAGATGATCATGATTGTCGTTTACAATAGTTTGTCATGATCGAGATAGAAACAGTGAACATGCATTGATGATATTAAATTGGAGACAATTAATAATATGAATCAATCAGGATTTATTCAACAAGTTTGTAAATATGGTCATGAATCTGATTCAAGTAATTGTAATCGTTGTTCTCATCCAACATCAATTTTAGTAATTCACTTATTCAAGACTACAACAACAAGTCGAAAACGGTCTTCATATTATTACAACTGTGTTGGTATACAAGTAGTTGATTCTAATTATCCATTAGTTAATGGTTTTCTATCTGCATCGAAACATGCTCAACCTCAATGATGAAAAAAGTACCAATCTGATGCTGTTCTTGTTACATTTAATTGTGGTAAAGGTAATATTATTCATATGATATTACATTTTTATTTACAACGCTCTGAAACTCGTGATGTTCGTCATCAAATCTTAGCTAAACAATTTGTAATAGATATACAAGCATCAATAACTGCTACATATCTTGTTGTAAATCAAAGTCAACATTTAAATTATGCTCAAATTCAACGATCATTAAACTTAGTACAATTTATTTATTATCAAATTGCAAATATTTTTTATTAAATAAATAATTATTCTTGAATATATTTTGTATTTTGTGAAGCTTGACTTAATGCTGTACTAACAGAATCATTGTCCGTATTTTCATTATTTTTTTTTTCATGAGATTTATAATTATATTCATTATCAATTGAATTTCTTCGATGTTCTCGTGTTTTAAATAATTTTTTACGACTATATATTAAACCAAAAATAATTATAATACTAACAATACATAAACCAATAATTAACCATATTTTTAAAGCACTAGTTTCTTTTTGTATTTGACTATTTGCTGAATTACTATTGTCGATTATTTCACAAAAGTCACCTGTTGTTAATGGATTACACAAACATTGATTATCTATACATGAGCCACTATTTTGACAAGGCTTATCTGTATTGTAACAACCTTGTTCTTAATATATAGAATTCTATTAATCAATGATAAATAAAGTAAAAATTTATACCACAAAATGTTCCTTGATAACCAGTTTTTATACAATTACATGTAAAATTATCTCGTCCGACTGCTTTACATTGTCCGTTATTCATACCTACGAAAATGATTATAGGGAATACCGAAAATAGTTGCGAAAGTACTTTATTTCCTTATAAAAAGCTTAAATGAACTTTGACTCTGTATGTACTGATAGTAAACGTGAAGCTCTATTACATTGTTCAGTCATTAAATATATAATAATAAATTTTTCGATAAGAGCTATTTGATATGCTATGTGATGATAACATCATATCATATCTATCTTCGATCCCTATTCAAAGACCGTCTGCTTTATTTTTTGCGGCAAAATGTCGAATATTTGATGAAATAAAAACTTGACGAATTTGTTTTTATATTTCATTTTTGTTCTATTGACACATATTCTTGTATATTTCAAGATTCACATCGAAGACAAATCTAATTCGACGTTATTGTCACATATCATAACCGAACAAATATGCAACATGAGTAGTTTTTTTTTTTTATAAGGAATTAAATTATCTCCGTCACTACTTTTACTATGACTCTTTTTCGTATAATATTCGTAAATTATTCGAAAAACTTACAGCGATCAGCTGGACAAGGATCTATAAATAAAAATTTTTGTTTTTAATATAAATAGAATTGTAAAATTTTCTTTTTTACATTTAGTTATATGACAAAATTCACCAATCCAACCTGAATCTCCACAATTACACATGAAACTAAATATTTTCTTAAGTATTTATATATAGATAAATTTCAAATTCTTCACCTAGGTGTATTACCCTAAGAAAAAGAAATATAATAATAAATATTTCACATCGCTTTCTTTCGTCGAAAATCAATTTTCCATACAAAGTATAGCAATAAAAAAAACAAGTTCTCTCTCTTTAACAAATAATGACGATCTTAGTTCTACAACTTACAAGTTGTATGCATTGTCCATTGTGTTGACAAGGATGTGAAAGACATGGATCTAAAAAAATTTTAATATTCTTTGAAAATTTCATTTGCAAAAAAAAAAAGAAACTGAAAAGATTTACTTTTGGCTTCTGTACAAAGTGGTCCTTCCCATAAAGATGTACATTCACAATAGCCTAGTTTCGTACAATTACCACCATTATGACCTATATTAATTGATATATTGATTGACAAACGAAAGGTTCTCAAATTTACAATGTGAAGGTAATGAACCACAATTATCAGTACAATAAGTACCACCATAAGGTGTTTCTGTACAATCACATTGAATCGGTTCTCTCTCCGTTACAGCAGTACATATACCTTCATTTTGACAAGTATTATTACTTGTATCACATCTTGTTTTAAAACTAGTCGATGCTTTAAAAAAATAAATAAATAAAACAAATAAATCAAATAATAATTGATTACTTAGAACTGGTCGGAGTTTTTTTTTGACTTCACTGACAAGGAATTGAATGTGTTTAACATATTAAGTAAACAATCAGTTCTTTTTAAGGAACAACTTCTATTTTAATCTTTGACGTTTAATATGTGCTAGTCTTATGACTATTCAATTAGCTAAAAAAATCTTTAGTTTAGATCAAAGTTAACTTCTAATATCTGGTTAACTTTTTATGAACATCAGCATGATGTGAAGCTCTCATATCGTACAATGAAAAAGTGTTAGCTCAATATTTAAAGCTGACGCTTTGGATAATGACTCATACATGTTGATCATTTAAACTATGGATATCAGTAAGAACTGGTCGATCCAGTTCCAAGTATGTAATAATTATATTTAAATAAAACTCACTTCGTTCACAAGCAAATGCTGATAATTTATCTGATTGTTCATCATTTAAACAGAAAACAGATTGATTATTATAACGTAAAGATCTCCATCTATATGAAAACACAGATTGATTATTCTTATTTTAATATTTTTGCATCGATACCGAATAAGAGCAATACGAGTTTCATTGGTATTATTGTTACTCCATGATGGTTGTGGATCTTCGACAGCTGGCTAACAAAAAATAAAACTTATAAGAAAAATTCGATATACAATTATACTTACTACTCCATTGATATTTGGTCTACACCACATTGAACTATTTTGATCAAATCTAAATCCTCTATTGTCAATCCATGAGAATTCACCAACTCGAATAAATTTCATTTTTTGTTTTTAAATTTATATCTTTTATCAACTTACATTTAACATATGGTTCATTCATTGCACCTATCCTATGTATATATATATATATATATACATTTTTTTTTAATAAAATTATCTTATTTTAAAATTTTACAAAAAAATCATAATCTACCAAAATCGAGTATAATAAGGACTATCCCAGGTATCAGGAAAAATCATTGACACACTCATTTCTTCTCCATGTTTCTACAAAAATATATGAATATATTTCATAATATAAGTTTCATCATAATATTTACTCGAAACCAATTTAAATCATTAGCATTATTAAAAACAATCAACTATAATAGAAATATATCAAATAAATAAACATTTTCTTAACCTACATCAGCCATAAAAGGATATCGACATCTGTCTCTAGCATTTGACCAACTCGCTTTCTCATTAGGAAAATAATAACATCGTGTTCCTAACATATAAACAATAAATATTATCAAAAAAGAACAAAAAATAATAATAATAATGAAAATTAAACCTTGAAAAAACCATCTTGCTGGACAATAAACACACCGACGACTTGTACTATTCCAAAAAACTTTTCCATTAGTATCAGTAAGAACTGGTCTACAAGTACATCTCTTTGTCATATCACATATTACACGTCCATCACGCCAATCAGCACAATCATGAGTAAAAGTACAAGTACCATTATAAGGTACACCTTGGGCATCTGCATTACATTTATTAAATATAATGACATTTTGATCATTAAAAAAAAAAAGAACCACTCACTCGAACAAGTATATTTTAATAATATAATAGTTATAGTAAGATTAACTAGCATAGATAATAGTAAACAAGTTATGACCTATTGTTAGTACATAGCAACGATAAATTTTTCGTTCTTTTTTTCTTTTTCTATCGCTTGATTATCTTTAAGATTTATTTTATTTATAAGTACAAAAAAAAAAATATGACAATTTGAATATATCAATTATTTCAATCCAACTGCTTCAGCACTCAATTTCCATAAATGATCAGCTATATTCTTATCTGTACAGAATGAAGTTGTTCGAGCAACAGCACAATTTCTATAATACAGACATAGAATCTTTCATTTGTTTTTGTTTTCTGTAAGGTGCCGACAATTCGAAATTTAGTATTTCAAGTGAAACTTAGAAAAAGAAAGTCAATAAGGATTTATCCGCATAAGTCTTCGGTAACGAATGATGAGAGGTTTGCTAAATTTTTCGTCACATTTGTTGCTATTCTTCGAAAAACCAAATGTTTTATGCCTTTATCAGTCTCTTCAAGACTTTCTTCTTGTCAGAATATGAACTCAAATGGCAGATGTCAGTAGAAATAGTTCTCTCATGAGAATTTTTCTGCGATTTTTGACTATTGAGCTATAAATAAAGCTAGTTTCAGGAATACAAAGGGGTGGGGGAAGTGGGTGACAATGATTGCGATTGTTGTTTTTTTTCTCTACTCGTCTCTCCTACACTCACCGAGGTTTGATTAAACTTCGAATTGTCGATATCTTATTGTTTGAATGAAAGATACATACTTAAAGTAGAGATCTGTTGAATTTTCAAGTGAAGGTTCAACTGCACAATAAATAGTTGTTTGTGCACCAGTCTTTGGTGTTTTAGCAAAAGTAGCTTTGAATATACGTAATATTGGATAGACAATAAGAAATCGATAAATTCCAAGAGATTCTCGCATTGGTGCTTGAATAGATGTTCGAACCCAACCGGGATGTAATGCAAATACATTAACACCTTCGGCTAAGTAGAAAACAATTAAAATAAAAGAAGAAAATGAAACAAAAAAAAAAAAACTCAGACAGATTACCAAGTAAATCTTGTTTTAATTTATAACTTGATAATATCTGAAATGCTTTTGATGATGCATATACACCTAATAGACGAGAATTTTTAAATTGTGTAAATACATCAAACCAATCAATAGATTTAACTCCTATATTAAATATAAAATAATATAGAATATATTGAAATCATTTTAATACAAACTTTTATGTGCACCCGATGAAACATTAATAATTCGACTTGGACGACATTTTTTTAATTTATCTAAAAGTAAATTTGTTAACAAAAAATGACCAAGATAATTAGCTTGAATAATAGAATTAAATCCATCTTTTGTAACAACATATTGAGTCCAAGCAAGACCAGCATTACATATTAATACATCAAGTCTTTCTTCTTCATTATTATATAAATTAGTAAAATTACGAATAGATTCAAATGAACATAAATCACATTCCATTAATCGAATATTTTTTTCTTCACATTCAGTATCAGAACATAATTGTCGAATAGCTTGACGACCTTTATCCATATTACGACAAGCGATAATAACTCGAGCACCTATAAATAATCTTAGAATAACAATTGAATATTTAGCAAACAAAAAATCACTCTAATTCAAACCTCGTCGAAGAAGATCTTTTGCTGTTTCATAACCAATACCAGTATTACCACCTGTAATAAGGACAGTTTTACCTTGCATTAATTGCATACTAGGATAAAATTTTCGATTCACCCATAATTTATTGTATAACCATGCTGTCATTGCTGAAAAGGAAACATCAGTTAGTAAGAATATGATAAAGAAAAAAACAAAAAGAAACATAATACCAGCTCCAGTGAGTACGAAAATAGCTGTACGATATTGATCAAATAACTGATGAATTATTGAAAAGAAATCTTCTTCTGGTGTAAAGGGTTCTGTTGCTGGTGTTACTACGGTTGTTACTGTTGTAACTGGTGCAGACATTTTGTTCGATGTTTTTAAAGATTTATCTCAATATGAGACAGAAGTTTGTTTTTTTTTGTATGTATCGAGAGTTTTAATATAAGGAAAAACAGATATTGCTTCATTGAAATTTACCAATCAAGAACTAGATTGACGAATGTGTATGAAACTAGTGGCCTCTATGGTATGAGTTAGAGTAAAAATTAATTGATTAATTCTTAGTTTTGATAAAATTGAAGTCTAACTTAATGATTATGCTATTCATAGGATCATTAAAGTACAAGTACAATTGAAGATAATGAAAAATAAAATTCTATAGATATGCTTTAATCAAAAAAAAAAATCTATCATTTTAATATATATTAAATAAATAATATATTATACTAAAATTAAATTAGAATGTTTACTAGCAAATTTATTTTTAAAGAACTTAAACTAACAAAAAAAAAACAAATTGATATATTTTCTTGATTTGTTTTATAACTAATAATTATTTCATTTCGTATTCATGAATATCATAAGTTGAAATGTTTAACCATCGAATTAATATTAATCATCTATGAATTGATTTAGTCAATGATTATAAATAAACAACATTAATATGTGTGCGTATATATGAGAAGAAAAAACAAAAACAAGTATACAAATAGGACTACCAATCATTGTCCTCTAGCATAAAAACATTATGTCTATCAAAAATGAAGAAAAAACGCATACTGAATTATAAAAAATAGACAAAATGAAAATTATAAATAAAAAGAACGAATGACAAAAATATTTAAACATTTGAAACTGGTTGATATTCTCGATTTGATGACATATCCTTGAGTTCTATAGCGTTTGTTGTTGTAATTGTCTCAGTTGTTGTTGATTTATATTTCTTAAATTTTTTTCCAAAAATTATAAAAACAAGAGCAAGAATCATACCAATAATACACAGAATCATTAAAGTAATAGTGAATATATCTTTGTCAGGCCCAGAAACTTTAAAACAAATATATTAATAAAAGCGGTTATTTGTTTATTTTTATATTATAAAAACAGACCTTCAGATGAAAATCCATTTATCTTCGATTCAAAACTTTTAAATGATGAATGTTTATCAAAACGATCATCGTCATATCCAATATCAAGATCAGTCGACATTGCTAAGAATAGTATAGACCAAAATAGATTGAAAATACTATTGAAATTTCTTATAATCAATCGATATTTTTGTTTTTTTTTTTTGGATTAATTTATCAATAACAACAATACGAATGCAACACAGAAAACATACACTTATTGATGTTTCGAGTAAAATCTTATTGCGACGCAGTTACGAGGAAAATAAATCGTAGTCACAAGTAACCAATATTGTTTTGTGGTGACTGCATCACAGTTAATAAAAACAAAAATGACATGTGTATTTTGCACACCTTATTGATGTTATTTTTGTTGCTTTCTTTCTATTCATGCTATTTTTTTTTCTTTCGAAACATAATTTTAAACTATAAGCTTGATGATTTTGCAACAAGATCGACGACGAAACGACATCAAGAACGATGAATCAGCAAAAATGTCGTTGTTTTATGTACTACTCGGCCTGTTTTTTTCAAGAAGCTCGATTGTTTAAAACGAAAGAAATGAAAAAATCTATTATGATTAATAAACTTACTCTACTATCATTTTCTAACAGTAATATGAGCATCATTATCGCTGAGTTATTCATATACTTCTTGAATAATTGCTATTGAATAATCATTGATTAGATCGATTAATAATGTTCAGATAGATTATTAACAATTAAGTTAATAGTTTAATAAAGAAGAATTTCATCATCGGCATAATCTTCTACCAAAGAATTTGTATCGTTTTCAATTTTTTGTGATGTTGTTGTTACTATTTCTCATTTATCTACTTCATTTTATGCTTTATACTCGTCAACTATAGAAATCGGATGAGAATAACAATAGAGATCATTGAAAGCAGATCTAAAAAAAAGAAGAATTACATTTACAACATAATATTCTTCAGTATATCAGTAGAATAAGAATCGAAGAAAGAAGAGCTATTCCAAGACGACTAATAGAATGTAAACAATTAAGAATAGACCAATGTTATGTTAAATATGCTAATTTGCAGAAGATCTTTGCACTATGTCTAAGAAAATATCACATATTTCATATAAATTAGCAGGCATTTACTACAGTTTTCTTTTTCAATCTGATGCAATATTCTTTAAAGTTTGGAACAAGTGATGTAAACTTTTTCTACAATGAGTTCTTTAATATATCAAATTAGTTTGAAGGCTAATTAGTTTTTGACAGGAAATTTATTTTCTTTTCCATCAAATAGCAATACTATTGTTTTTATAGGATGACAAATAGTTAAAATGGATGAACTAATAAAATATTCTAAATGATATTACTCTGGAATTGAAATAGTTATAGATAAATACTAAAATGCTAACTGATATAAGAACGTATGAGCTAATCGATATTAAATATTACAAAACTTTGTAAACTAATATAATCAAATGTAGATACCTAATTTATTATTGCTCTTCTATCTCATGAAGAACTATTAGGTTGCAATAAGTAAATATAATTTCCTAGTGAAAGGTTATTTTATTACTGCTGCATTGATATTTAGCAATATAATTACAGAGTTGCTATAGATTGAAATTGTAATAAATGATAAAAACAATTTAATTATCTAGATTTCGCTCATACAATTCATGTGTTTCGTACGATTGAAGTTATACATGGAAAAAAATATCAAAAAATTAAACAAACATGCAGCAGATAAAATACCTTTATACTTTGCTTTTGCTGCATTAAGATCTGGTTGTAAAGAAAATAGCATGAGAAGATCTTCACAATTTTTCGATTGTGATCGCACTCATTGATGATAACTTTCAAATATGAACCTCAGTTTGCTTAGATTTTTAAACAGAACGGCATACGAACCAAACGACAAAATAATGTTGAATATATTCAAATCAATAGCAAGAACTATGATAATATACGGTTATCCAATTCTGCTTACAGCAAATGATAAAATATGGGAAAGATTACAAATTATGCAAAACAAAGCCATTCGTGCTGCTTTAGGATTACCTATATATACATCAGTTGAATATATACATAAAATTAGCAATGTTACAAAAATAAAAGAATATGCTATTACACTACTCCAACGATATATTCAAACTGCAACATCAAACAACGACAACGTACTGAAAAACAACCTAGAAGAAATATTCAATCAACTATGAAAAACAAATCACCTACCTATTATATATAATATATACATCGTTATTATAGATCACTGATGAATCGACAGAATCCATGTAAAAATTGTTATATCGGATTCGGATACTAGAAGTTTGCATCATGTACAACGTTAAAACTAAACACAACGTATAAACATGTTTCATGAGACAAAAGACATTCGTCATGCGTCTCTCCGTTTGTTTTTCCAGCCTTTTGTATATATCATCTCTTTTTTCTTGTTTCTTCTTCTTAACATCATAATAAAGGCTTTGACTACAAAAAAAAAATGAACTAATGGTATATATACAAAATTACTCTGAGATATTTATCTCGATATCGAAAAAAGTTTATCCTTATGATAATCAATATTTATAAAGCGTATTGTAGAAGTAACACACTCGATTTTTATCTTTTCCATATTCAAACATGTCAAAGCATTGAATATATACATATATTAAGAATAGCATATAAGATATTATTCAACAGATATTTCTCTCTTTAAAGAAGAATTATCTATTCCGTATTTCATGAATATTTCTATCAGATTTTGACGCTTCGAGTATAGAAAAAAAAAAACTGAACTCAAAACATCAACAACTGACAAATGCATTCATTAAATACTCACTGAGTAATTCGTTACAGAGAAAAATGTAAAAAAAATGACTTTGATAAAATTGTTTTCAATAATATTACTAATGCGGTACTTTCTTATATTATCCATTTTTGAACATGAGATTCAAGTGCTATTAATTGTTTATGAGTTCATTGAGCAAATAAGGATAATAATCAACATGAATATTTGTGTGGGTATTATAAGAAAAAAAAATCAAAGAAATAAAGCTATTAATCATTAATTTCTTGCACAAAAACGCTACGCACACTGAATTATAAAAAAAAAGACAAAGTAAAAATTTAAAAGTAAGAAGAACCAATGAAAAAGAAAAAAATATTTAAACATTTGGTACTGGTTGATATTCTGAATATGGTGATGTACCTTTGATTTCTACATCTTTTGATGTTGTAATTGTGCCACTTCTTGATCGTTTATTTTTCTTAAATTTCTTTCCAAAAAATATAAAGATAAGAGAAATAACGATACCAATGATACACAGGATAGTAAGAATAATACATAATGTATTGTTCCAAGATCCCGAACCTTAAGTCATTAAGACAAATAAATTAATAAAAGTATTTCATTGTTGTTTTTTTTTTCTATGAAATAGAAACAAACCTTCAGATAATAATATGTCTGTCTTAGGTCGAGCGCTACTAAATGACGAATGTCCATCAATATGAAGATTGACAAATACAGTGTCACTATTAGAAGACATTGTTTGAGAAAAGTATAGACGGAAATAGATTGAAGGTACAATAAATTTATTATAATCGATCTATAGTATGTTTTAATTTAGTGACAACAGCAAAACGTATATAACATTAGAAAAGAGATACTTATCACGTTTTCGATTACAAGCTGGTTATGACTCAGTTATGTGTACTTAGAAAAAAAAACCTGTAGTTACCAGACATATACGACTTTTTTTTGCATAACTACACGTGGCTACGATTTTCTTTTTCGTAAATACATGTAACTGCATCACAGTTGCTAAAAAAATAGATAACATACATCTTTTGCTCGTTTTGTTGGTTTTATTTTTCTCTTTCTATATTCATTCTATTTTTTTTTTCTTTTATAACATAATTTCAAAGTATGTGTTTGATGATATACAATAAGACAGAAGACGGATTGATAACAATAATGGTAATTCGATAAAAGTTTTGTTGCGTTCTGTATTATTTATATCATGTTCAAGGAATTCATAGTTCTAAATGAAAGGAATAAAAAAAGCGATGAAATATCGATTAAAATTGAGCTCATGAACTAAGGTTATAGTTATTATATAAAATTGGTCGTTTTGCCACTCTTGTTTTCATCAACAGTTGTATATTGCTCATTCATTCTTGTTATATATATATATACATATCTATTATTCAGAATAAAAATCTTCAATATGCCGACCAGTTCTTTGTTTTTTTTATCTTTTCTTTGTATGTTACCAGCTAGTAGTTAAGTTTATCCATTCCAATATTTATACGTATTCCAAGTATTGATCTTGATTTTTTTTTTCTTCTGCTGACTTAGATAAATTATTTTTAGGTAATAAATTTACCACACCATTGTTTTCTAGCAGTATCTGAGCAGCATCACCGTTAATTTGCTGAGTATACTTTTTGAGTAATTGCTATTGAATAATCATTGATTGAATCAATCAATTAAAGATGCTGTTGATGGTTGTGTGCTCTTTGTAGAAATATCGTAATGACTCTATTGTAATTATTTTTTGTACCTTCTCCATATTCAAAGGTAAAGAGGTTTTGAATACAGATAGTTCTCAAGAATAACATCGAAGCTACTACTCAATAGAATTTTCATTAATTGAAAGAAGTTATTAAATTAGTAAAAATTTTATCAAAATAATTTTTTTTTCCTCAAGAATTATGCATTCAATATTTAATGAATATTTCAGTCAGTTTTCGATACTTTGACTTGAACTTTGTTTCCAAAAGATAGTTTGTGTAATTTTCTAAAAAGTTCAAGGACAACTACTTCTCAAAATGATAATGTAAAAAAATAACTTTGATAATTTCTTTTTTTAAATATTTTTACTAATGCAGCACTCTGTTATAGTTGAGTCAAATTATAAATGCAGTTCCTGTTGAATTATATGTAGGATGTTACTCTTCATATATATATATGTAATACCTATTTATTTTTGAATATAGAAAAAATAAAGAGCAAATATATATGGAATATGCCAAAAAAGAAAATCAAGGTAACTATTTAATGTTCACTTATTTTTCAAATATCTTTAGGAAAAAAAAACAAATTAAGTAAATTACACAAGAAAAAAGACTATTTCTGATGACGTATGTACCTCAAGATTTCAAATTAATATGCCATTATGCATAATTAATATTGATTCATGTACGTGTTTGTCACGACGGCTCATTTTGTTGAAAATGAGATATATATGCTGTGGTCAAAATTAAAATTTTGATTTTATTCAACATTCTTTTTTTGATGAAAAGAAAAAGTTAAAATAACGATAACTTTTTTATTTCAAAAAAAAAAAATATTAACAAATATTAAATGAGTGTAGATGTAATAGATTCTTGTAAGGGTGTCACAATTTATATTTTCAATTTAATTAATGCGTAAATCAAATTTAAAATAAATTTAGATTATTTTTCCATAGCTTAAATTTATTGAAGGTAATATGAAAATAGTAAGCTTAGTTAGAGTCTTATTCTTTCACACTCATCTACATTCATACACATATAATAAGAAAAATAAGTTGAAATAGTTTCTCGATTGATGATTTATGGTTTCTTTTTTTATATTCAATACTTGTTTAATCATTTAATATTCATAAATCATATATTGAAATATTTAAGCATACGAGTTATATTAATCATCTATGAATGGATTGAGTCAATAAGGTTATCAATCAATATTAATCTCTTTGTTTGTATATTATAAGAAAAAAAAAAATAGAAATAGGACGAACGATCATTATCCTAATTATTTTATCAATATACTACGTAGACTAAAAGAGAGGGAAAAAACGCACGCTGAACTAAAAAAAAAAAAAAAAGATAAAACGAGAAGTTAAAGATAAGAAAAATGTTTAAACATTTGGTATTGGTTGATACTTTGGGTTTGATGATATATCTTTGAGTTCTACAGTTTTTGTTGTTGTAATTGTGTCACTTGTTGTTGATTTTTTGTTTTTCTTAAGTTTTTTTCCAATAGTGAAAAACAGAAGAACAAGAACAATACTAATGACAGCGAAGACAAGTAAACCGATAAGTAATGCCTTGCCCCAATAACATGAACCTTAGATCATAAAGACAAACAAATCAATAAAAGTAGTTATTTCGTTTTTTTCTTTCTATGCAAATAGAAACTAACCTTCAGATGAAAATGTCTTTGTCTTAGATTGAGAACTACTGATGGATGAATGTTCATCAATAAGGAGATTGACCAATATAGTGTCACTATCAGAGGACATTCTACAAAAAAATATAAGCGAAAACAGATTGAAGGTAAAATGAATTTCTTATAATCAATCTATATTGTGTTGCAATTTAGCGATAACAGCAATACAAATACTACATTGAAAACAGACACTCATTCACGTTTTTGATAACGATCCAATGGCGAAGCAATGACGCGTAGTTGCGCGTGATCACGATTTTCTTTTCATAACTACATGTAATTGCGTCTCAGTTGCTTAAAAAACAGACGACATGGGTCTTTTGCTCATCTTATTGATTCTGTTTCTGTTTCTTTCTTTCTATTCATTCGATTTTTTTTTCTTTTTATCACATAATTTTCAAATGATGAGTTTGATGATGCGCATAACTACACTAGAAGACGAAAATGATAACAATAATGATAATTAAACAAAAGATTTATTACGTTCTGTATTCTTCGTCTTATTTTTTGAAGGATTTTCCAAGTTCAAAACGAATACATTTTATTCATAAAATTATCTCACTATCGTTTTCTAGTTGCAATATAAACAGCGTCACCGTTGTTTTGCTCATATTTTTTTCTCGAGTAATTGCTATTGAATAATCATCGATTGAATCCATTCATCGACGTTGTTGCTAGTGATATATAATAGCTGCATAAATATTGATTATAGCTGCATCGACTAAATTACTTGATATTGTTTCACCTTTAGATAGTCGAATACGATAAGCTGACAAGGTTTGCTTATGTCATCATCATCGTGATATTTGATCATCATTTTATTGAATCGATATGTTTCAATCATGTTCAGTATACACTATTCCATTGATTGATATTCAATTCTAATCCTGTAGTAAAGCATTTCGGTATTTATCTTCGATAATTATTTCTCGTTCAAGTTGCAATTTTCTTGTTTTAGTGTGGCATCACTTATCACTGAGAAAAGATTGAATATCTATCTTTCGATTTTGATGTAGAATTGTGTTACTTGTTGTATTTCACTTAGAATAATGTAAAAAAAAAACTCATATGTCAACGTTCAAAATAGAACAGAGTTCGAAGGCATAATGTATTGAAGTTTATATTTCATATGAAAACAACAATAGTCAGTGAAAAAAAAAACAAAGAACTGAAGATCCGAAATAATTTAATAAAAATAATAAACAATATCTTCTGTATAGTGACGAATAGCGTTTTGTTTTTTTATAAAGTATATCGAAACTCTGGATGTCGATCACCGATTAATTCACTTCCACCATATCGTTTAATTTGTTGTTGTTTTTGATCATCGTTGAGTATTTGTCGTCGACGATTAATATAAATAAATATAAAACGAAGAATAATGATGAGTATTGTCTGTAAAGCAACACATCCAAAAGCAATTGTATTGCCTAAAAAATATCTTGGTTTCTGTTTATCTTGATATATCTGGCCTGAGATTGCTCCACCAATCGTACCAAAGGAGACAATAACTGCTGATGCAACAGCACGACGAGTTAATGAAGCACTAGATTATCATCAATAGACAACAAAAAACAACAATAAGTATATTATGAATATAATTTTTTTAATATCAACTTACAAATTATTATTAAACCATGCAACTTTGACACTCACATTTGCATAGGTACCTGCTGTAAGAAAAATAATACTCATATAGAGAATATTTACACGTTGGTGTTCGATGAACATCAGAAGGAGAAGACCACACATCGAAAAAAGATTTATTAAAACCAAATGAAAAGATCGTTCGACAAAACTAGACAGATGAATATTTTTGTTTTTCGATACACAAAATATACAATCATGAAGAGACTTACTAATCAGAACTACGTGAAACAATAATAATGGCAATAAAAGCACAAATATATGGTGGAATAGTCATTAATTGTGTTTGAACAATTGTCCATTTACCCATACCTTTGATAATAGATGGTAAAAAAAGAGTTACTGCTTGTAATGGAATTGTTCCTGTGATATAAATGATTGAGTAAATATAAGTTTTCCAATCGGTGAATACAGACCAAACTTGTGACCAACTAAATGAATGATTAATAGAAGCACCGGCATCCTGACTTATACGACAAATCTCAATTTCACGTTCTTTATTACTTAAAAATCGTGCACGCTCAGGAGAATCAGGTAAGAAGAAAAAGCAGCATATAGCTACGACAATTGTTGGAATACCTTCGATCTATTATCACATGAGATACAAAAAAATTATGACATTATCTTGTCTACATAAAAAGATCAACCTACGATAAATATCAGTTGCCATGCTGACAATGTCGATGATTTTATGTGACCAATACCAAACGCTAAGAGACCGCCGAAAGCACCGGCAAGTGCCGAAAAAGACCAAAAGAAGCCGAGTCGAATAGCTTGTTCTTTTCTCGGATACCATAATGACATAAAATAGATTAGACCAGGAAATAGACCAGCTTCGAATGTACCAAGTAAAAATCGACATACAAGAAGGCCAGCAAAATTTTTTACAGCTGCTAGACTCACAGCTACAGTACCTGAAAAAAGAATAATTGATCGATGCATATTGATTAAGAACTAATGACACTTTGATCTACCCCATGCCAACATTATTAAACCAATCCATCTTGATGGACGCCAACGACGAAGAATTATGTTCGATGGTACTTCGAAGAAAACATAACCAAAGAAAAATATTGACAATGACCTAAATTGTAAAACTCGATATTTACATTCTAGCGCATTATGCACATCTGAAAATATTACCATTGATATTGTTCGGAAGTCAAATGAGTATCTTCTGCAAGACCACCCAATTTAGCATTGGCAATATTTGATCGATCAAGATACGAAAGTAAATAGGTGATTCTAATGATAACAAATATAAATCATTTTCTTTAATATTATCTGAGAATGACATACGAAAGAAGTGGTAATAAGTGAAAATCGAGTTTGCGTTTCAAGATTTTCTCCGTTTCTTGCATCACTTTATCATCGGACCAAGTTTCTGTCGTCCCATGATCTTCTCTATTCGCAACAGTGGAAGACATAGTTTTGTTCCAATCATGCTCTGGTGTTCTATTCGCTTGATGTGTTGTTAATTCTACTTCATCAGGCAGAAATATGGTTGAAACAGAAAATGAATTTTGTTGTTTCTTATCTACAATGTTTTGTCCATTTTCGACATGATCTAAACAGTTCTTCATGCCAAAATGATGAAAGAGTATAAATGACGGTGTCAAGAAAGAATAATTTTTGAGATGAATAAATAGAAGTCAACGAGTTGATATATTTATTTAATGAAGTGTCGATACTAATTGCGAACTTTGAATGATGATCGAGGGATGACAGAAGTCAAGCGTAACGGAAGAGAAACAAGCAAAGAAGATTGAGTCTATATCAAATGATGGTTACCATTTCTATTGCTGAAAAGGGAAGAAAAAAATATATGGACATATATAATGATGTCATCAGTGGTATTGCGTCAATTTTTTTACTATTTATTCTTCATACATTTGTACTGTAAAATTGATTTTGAAGAAAGATAGTATAGGTGCAATAAGAGCAAACAGAATATTGCACTTGTCTATTCTACTCTTTTCTTGAGATACATTTTGGACTCATAATGAATGTATAATAGTAAAAAATTGTTTTTTTGAGCAACTTTTAATAGCAAAGATCACATATAGTCTTGACTAGATCACAAATCTTATGTCAGCTTGTACCAGTGCAATTTTATAAACCCATCAGTCACTATGAAAACATCCTGATGTGTATACAAACATTCTTTTACAAAAGAGGAGACAATTTTCAATAAAACATCGATTCTATTTTCAGGCTTAAATATTCTATTTTAACTGTATTAAATTAAGTAATGTGTCAAATAATCAAAAATTATGTTTCACCATTATTAATCGTGTGACATTAATCTTTCTTTCAGAGAATAAAGTTGAAAAGGCGAAACTTCACAATGTTCACTTTCTCTAAATAAAAATAATCCTATCTAAAATAGAAAGAAGACAGTTGGAATTGAATTTGGCATCTCTCAATCTACGAGCTAGTGCTCTCGGTATTATTTATCAATGATATTCTTCTTTGAAGCTATTCTTGACAATCCCTAACGATCTTCCATACAATGAGTTGTTCATTATTAATTATTTCATCTTGTTAATCGTGTTTCTCGAAGACTTTTTCTCATAATTCGAAGACATCAACTCCTTCTAAGCTACGAAATAAAGCTACTTTTTAAAAACTATATGCAGCTACTAAATGATTTGAATAGCTGCTTTATTGCTAACAAAATTTTGTGTCTTTTTTGTTGTTTGATTAACTACTTCAAATCTAACGTTTTTTTAAACATTTTCATACTTAATAACATGGATTCGATAGTTAATCAAAAAAATAAGGTAAATAGCTACTCGATCTTAGGTCGAAGTCACACAGTCGGATTCAATTATGTCCGACCATGAGAACTTGTCGAATTCAACGAAATCCTGTGGGATTATAGTTATCCTCTTTTGCTTTTCATGATTACTAGACAACATGGGTGATATATTTTTTATGACGATGCGGAGCTGTTTTCCGTTTACCCACGTAAAGCATGCACACTTCTAAATGACTGTTATGATGACGAAGGAGCTATATAACACAAGGAACAAAGAAAAGTTAGTATAAATTATTTATTTTATTGTTTTTTCATTTTAGACTGGAATATAGGATGAACTTAACGAATAGTAAGTTATTGATTCTTTTTTATTAAATTTGTTTGTAATATCGAGATGTAATTTCAACATCATCTAATGGTATTCTATCGAATTCTCCGTATATCCAACAATTTCCAAATGTCTGATTCGACTTCGAAATTCGATGTTCTTCGATATCATGGATAGCATTGGTAAATATTTCTATTCAATATGATATTTTAATAAATTGATTCCTTTTAGATAGTGTTGTCCTAATTTCAAAGATAATCATTCAATATTACAAAATGTTTCTCAAATAAATGTTGATACAAGCCGTCAAACAACAGCAACATTCTGTTGATTATGTATTCGATTATTTTAATAATCATTATGGTTACGGTCAAATCTTCCCACTTTCATTTATCATTAATCATCTTGATTTTATTTCAAATCGATTTTCACTCTAGAATGATGTCAAACCTCTTAAAAATACTTTGTTTTTAAGCACTGTAAAATTAATAAGAGAAATTTAATTCAAATAAATAATCTATAAATGTATCTTTTATGTTGATGGATAATTCTTTTTTGTTTTGTAGTGTCAAACATTAAAGCAAAATAATTTCTAGGTATATATTTCAAAAATTAAAATATAAAACAAGCGAAAAGGTTGCTTTTACAAGAAGCACTAATAGAAAATATTTGTTATCAATAACTTTTGCTATGAAATAATGTTTTAACAGTAGAAGAACAATTTGTAGCATATATCTATAAACTAATATTGCAGATGTTGATTCGAACCAGAACTCTAATTGTGATTTTCATCTATTGTTTCTCATACAATAGAAATTTAACTTAATAAATAAAATGCGCCCTACAAAAAATTACTGCATATAGCATCAGATGGTATTCAAAAGAAAAAAGACGTATGTCTATTAATTCTTATTTATAAAAAGGACTCCATTTTTTTTAAAAATGATATCAACTAGATTTTAAATAAATGACAATGACAACTATTTTTCTGTATTCAAACATTTTTTTATTGAATGAAGAAAAAGTCAAATCGTAGAATGTACGAGGTATTACCTTTTGTATTCTGCGATCAATAAAGAATCACTATAATTTTTAATGTTGGTATCTGAGGGTCCGACATGCTAGAGAGCTTGACGCCTTCAAAAAGAATGAATTCCAATGAAAACTTGTATAAAATTTGAACTCAAAAGCCAATTGATGAGTACAATGCGATATTTCATTGAGAGACTCACTAAAATATTCATAAATCAAGAAGAAAAAATCATGAGCACAAATTTTTCTGGACTCTCTCTAGTCTCCATAGGACCTATCGAATAAGTTAGGAGTTATCTCACAAGCCATCGATCATTTGACGAGGTTCTCTTACCAAAAAAAAATTAGTTCTAATACAACATCAATCTTTAGCGTTTTAAAATTTCCGTACAAAACTTCGTAAAGTAGTAGAATATGAAAAACTTAACTCAAAAACATTTTAGATTAACTTAATTCATAAATCTTCCATTTAGAAATGAACGCATTGAAAAAAAGATAATTACTATTGAAGTGTTTCTAGTAGAGTCCTGCGGGACAGTTCTGAATCCCTAAAAATCCCGTTTGTCCCGTCCCGCGGGTCAATCGGAACTGTCCCGAAAAAAATTGGAGCGGGACAATCGGGATCCGGACAAAATCGAAAAAGAAAGAATGTTCCGAATTTTTTCAATCGTTATCTCGAAACGTGCCATACATTTTAACTTTTTGTATGAAAATATCTTAACATTTAAATAAAATAAAGAGAAATGAAACAGAGAGAAAACTAGACTTCTACTTGAGCAAACCCTGAATAAAAATGGCGGCTGCCTGCAAGAGCTAGAAAAACGTCAGAGTACGAACCTATGCGACATCTTCTATTTCTAAATTTTAGACTTTCGCACAGAAAACAAGAGATGAATAGCGAAATTCTGGAAGCCTCAAATTCTATGGAATTCAGAATTGGAATTCTATATAATTCTACCGAGTCTACTAAGATACGATAGGGAATCCTTGGAATTCAAGGATTCTAGAATTCCACTATTCACCCCTGGAGAGAAACAAACAATGAGCTTCAGCTGCGTTCAGCTATCTTGGCTCAGGTGACAAGTTAAGAAATAATTAGTTTATACCAAATATTACCAAATAAAAAAACTATTGCATGTAGTATTTGAAATATCAATGATTTTTTTTAGATTGAGTCTTGTGTGACCGTACACGGAAACTCTCACCTGTTAATTATTGTTTTGCGCATTTTGGTAGATCCTGAGCGGCATCGAGATTTTGAAAAACGGATTTCAAGTAAACACTCGTCCCTTTTTCATGATCTTGGCAAACTTTTTCTCGTTTCGAAATAATGGCTAGGTTTGGAGAATGAGTGACTGACTTGAGTCATGACTAATGCTTCGATCAGAGGATGATAACCCACATTAAAAAAGCATTTGTCATGGCAACAAAACGAGTGAGAGGCAATAACCAGACGAGCAGAAAAAGTTCCGTTAGTTGCCTTTAAGTTAACTGGACAAACGGGATTTTACGGGACATCCGAGGGTGTGGGTGTGCGTGTGGGTGAGTGTGGGTGTGGGGTGTGGGTGGGTGTGGGTGTAGATGAAGCAAAGAATTATAACTACACTCACCAAGACTCACACTCACACCCACACCCTCGTACTTT